GGGCTCAGGAGATGCAAACAGGGGTCCTGATGAAAGGAGAAAGCCCCCAGCTTTCTGAGTTCTTTCTGAAGTGGGGGTGCAGTGGAGCCTGACTCCCCCAGAAACCCTAGGATACCGGTAAATGGGTATTCCTCCTCCTCAGCTGTCAAGTGAGAAATGGACAAGTCCCAAAGAGCCAGGGCCAGGGCGTCCCCACACTGTCCCATCCAAGCAGGTGAAAGAAGAGACAGATTCCCAACTAGGCCCGTCCAGGCAGCAGGGTCCTCATCTCTCTCAAAAGACCGGAGTCAGGTCCTAAGATACCTTGTCAGGAGGTGGATGTGAGCCGAAGAGAGTGACAAAACTCCCTGCCACCTCCAGTCAGGCCACTCTTGGGGTTGTAGGAGTGGGCCCTGGGTCCAGAGGGAGGATTGACGGGTGCTTCTCTGAGTTGTCAGGGGAAAGGGGGTTGACAGGGCTGTCAGGCCCGCTGGGCTGGAGCCACTGCTTACAGGCACTCACACACACACACACACACACACACAGAGCACCTCTGATCCAGAGAGTTTTAGGGGGTGGTAAGATAACACAGAGGCCAGTGGTGTACCCACCCCAGGAAAGATTTCTACAGAAGTACAACCTCTCTGATTCTGGGTATGTCCATCCTAAACGTGGTTTACTAAGAAGAGGGTAGGGTCAGCCCTTGGCATGGTGGTTAAGGAAGCTGGATCTCACAGGGTCTACTGACTGCAGTTAGAGTCCAGGACCTGGCAGCTTGAAAAACACACTGGGTGCATCCCCCCAAATCCTGAAGGGAGTGAGAAGTGGAAAGAAAGGGATTGCAGAATGGTCATGGGGGGAGGGGTGGTTTCTCACTCTCTCTCTGCGTGCTTCTCTCCAGTAAGCGCAAGTGCCCTCTAGCAAACTTAAAAAGGAAAGAAGGAAGGTAACTAGAGGCAGGTGACAGCCATGGCTGTTTCCCTGGCATGAGATATTTGGTGTCAGTGATAGGAGAACCCAGGATTCCTGCCCTTAGGCATGAAACCTGCCACCCTCAGCCACACATCCCAGCCTGGAGCCACATCTGTCCCATTCGTCTGTCCCTAGGCTGGATGGGATGGGCAGGGGGAACAGCAGTGAAAGGCAGCTACCTCTGCTGAAGATGGGACTCTCGTAGGGGATCTTGTTGCGAGTCTCCAGGCTAGAGCAGTTCCAGCGCTGATCCCGGAACTGGTGCTGGCACTCGTGGATGGCGATCTGGATGCCCTGGATGGCAGAGGCGGCCACGTCAGGGTGACGCACGCACACCTCCATCTGCCGCCGGCTCAGACCCGGCAGTGTCAGGCACACTGTGTTGGCTGTCAGCACAGGCTCCGGGGGGTGGTGGAGGTCCAGGATATCATTGGGTGCTGACCTACAGGCACGTCAGGTGGGGAGATAAGTGTTTTGGAGGGCCAGGAGGGCCCCATCTAACAAGACATAGTTTGCCCCAAAGCCCACAATCACTCTCTTGTTTTGATCAGTCTCTGCAGTTTGGCCCTTCCATATACCCTTAATGGGTCTCCATTCCTGACCCCTTCACCATCGCCTCCTCTAACTCCACCCACCCGCTGCACACCCACACAAGCAAACATGAGCAAATGCACACCCATCCGCTATGTCTCTGCACACAGCATTTCCTCAGCACTCCCTCGGGTACAGCTGCCCACCTACACGGAGTCTCCCAGGAGCCCACTCCCAAAGGCATGTTTTGCAGTCACGTTGTCGCAGACACTCAGAGCCATTCTGCACCCGATGTGGATCCACAGCCCCAGGACACTTACATGAAATGCATGCTGCATAGACACACTTACAGACACACATGAAGACACTCATGTTTATAAATGTTTGTCTTAACATTCATTGACCCATGAGTTCTCATTTTCACACACACATGCATACACACACACGCACACGCACCACTGTTCACCAACACAGCTTGCTGGGGTCACTCAGTCTCTCTCTCTGCTCCTCCTTTCTCGCTCTCTCTCTTACACACACACCTCCCTTCCAGCTGTGTCTCTCTCCCTGACTCCACCTGAGCTATCTCCTTCAAGCCCCCTAGCCCCCTACCCCTGCCTGGGGGCCATCTCCAAAGTCGACCCAGGGAATTTGAGCTTGCCCCTGGGGTGGGGTTGAGGGCGCATCCCCCCAGCACCACTTGCTCCCCCCACTTCCACCTCCCCCCCAGTTGCCATCATTCTCCTGGGCACTGCCCTGTCTCCCCGGACTGCCCATATTCTGTCACCAGTCCAACCCCTTCCTAGGAGGGAGCTCACTTTCTTTGGCACCAGCACTTTCCTGTGAGCCTGTCCCTCTCTCCTTCCAGGGTCCCCTGTCTCAGCAGGAGCAGCAGAGGTCCCCTGGCCTGGGGGTCCCAGCGTTCCAGGAGGGCGGAGCATGAGGTGAGGGCTCACCTGGGCACAGCGGAAGCCAGCAGCAGCAGGAAGAACAGGAGCGCCCAGAGCGCGGGCCGCGGCTGGGGCCGGGGTCGGAGCCGCAGCCAGGGGCGAGGGTGGGCGCTGCCCATGGCGCGCGGGCCTTGACTGGCCGAGAGTGGGGGGGCTCACAGCCCGGTGGGACTGGCGAGCCAGGGGCGGCGGCGCATGATCGGCGGGGGTCGGGGTGGCTGCGACACACAGCTCCGACTTGGGTCACGGCTCCTGGAGCAGGCGGCGCCCGCCTCCCAGCTCCATGGGGCAGCGCCCCCGGGCACCGCCCTCGGGGGGG